CTGAGCTGTATACAAGCCCAACCCCTGAAAAACAACCCCACACCATAATCCCCCTCCACCAAACTTTACACTTGGCACAATGCAGTCAGGCAAGTACTGTTCTCCTGGCAACCGCCAAACCCAGAGACGTCCATCGGATTTCCAGACAGAAAAGCATGATTCGTCACTTCAGAGAACATGTCTCCACTGCTCCCAAATCCAGTGGCAGCGTGCTTTACACCACTGCATACGATGCTTTGCATTGCACTTGGTGATGTAAAACTTGGATGCAGCTGCTCAGCTATGGAAACCCATTCCATGAAGCTCTCTACACACTACTGTGCTAATCTCAAGACCACATTAAGTTTGGAGATCTTTAGCTATTGACTCTACAGACAGTTGGCGACTTCTGCACACTGTGCGCTTCAGTATACACTGACCCCACACTGTCATTTTACGTGGCCTGCCACTTCGTGGCTAAGTTTCTTTTGTTCCCAGTTGCTTCCACTTTGTTATAATACCACTAACAGTTGACCGTGGAATATTTAGTAGCAAGGAAATTTCACGGATGTACTTATTGCACAGGTGGCAACCTATCACGGTACCACGCTTGAATTCACTGAGCTCCTGAGAGAGACCCATTCTTTCATAAATGTTTATAGTAGCAGTATGCATGCCTAGGGGCTTGATTTTATACACCTGTAGCCATGGAGGTGATTGGAACACCTGAATCCAATGATTTGGAGTGTTGTCCCAATACTTTTGGCAATATAGTGTATACTGTAACTACCCCAAGCCCAAGCATTCCCATCCTGCCTGGTCTAAGGTATACAGATGTATGCACCTGTCCAGCCGTCTGTGGCATAACTGTGTACAGACCCAGTTTACACTCAGGTATTCAAGCATCCATTTTGAATAGCATACCTCCAGACAAAAGCGAAGTCCATCTCCTTTACTTAAAGTTACATCAATACAGCTTCCAAATCATTCCATCGAGGTAAGGCAGACAACATCACTTGTGGTACATAACACAGGCCATAGACCCACATCTGCTGGCATAACAGTTAAGTAATGTTCACAAGGCTAGGTGTTATTTTGAGTGCAGAAAGGTCCCATTATAGGGAAGCCCACATAGGGGAACTGACAACACAGCTTTATTCCCTCATGTTGCTTGCCAGTCTAGAGATTGCAGAGCCCACACCTAAACTCTGCCCACCCTATGTATGGGGAAAGCCAATAAAGGGCAGAGGTTAGACATCACTTTATGGGGGACCCTAGATTAAAATAAATTAACCCCTTCTTCTTTACAGAGACCCTCTCACTTTGGTCTGTTGGTGGCATTTCACATTTTCAAGAGTGCTTTACTTTTCAGAAAATATTCATTTAAATTCCTGCTAATATTTGACCAAAAGAGTCTTCTGCAGTGTACTCCCAAACTCCAGCATGCAGCTCTAACGTTGTAGCGCTTACGCCCAATGAGGCTGTTGAGAATATGCCCAGGTCTCCCACGGTAGTACAGAGGCTGCCAGTCCCAAGCACAGTCCATTCACATCGACAATTTAGCCGCAGTCTAGGTGATGTCTTTTTAGTATTTATGGCTAAATAACAGGAGATGAATTTTGGGCCACTCCAAACAACGATAGAAATCAATGGGAGGGCAAACTTCACACAGTCCCAAAATCATGTCTTAATCACACTCTCCCAGGAGATCTGCAAACTTAGTAGAGACATATCCCAACACACTAAAGGCTGTAATTAAAACAAAATGTGGTTCAACTAAATACTGACATAAGGGGGTTATCCTTTTTCCAACTCAGAGATTCTGTTTTTGAATTTTTTTTCCCTGACATGTTATTATACAGGATTTATTATACAGGATTTATATAGCGCCAACAGTTTTTTTCTCAGCGCTTTACAAAATAAAGGGAGACAATACAGCAACAATACAGTTCAATACAAGAGGCTTAGGAATGCCCTGCTCCTTGGAGCTTACTATCTAAGAGGGAGGGGCTGGTGGTACAAAAGGTAATAACTGTGGGGGATGGACTGGTAGAAGGAATAGAAGATTCCGTTATTAGCTGGCGGCAGGATAGGCTACCCTGAAGAGATTTCAGAGATTTCAGAGATCTCCTAAAAGTGGGCAGAGTAGGCGATAGTCCGATAGATTGGGGTAGAGAGTTCCAAAGGATGGGGGAGGCTCTGGAGAAGTCCTGGAGATGAGCATGGGAGGAGGAGACAAGGGAGCTAGAGAGCAGGAGGTTGTGGGAGGAGTGGAGAGGACAGTTTGGGTGATATTTAGAGACAAGATTTGTGATGTAATTTGGGGCAGAGTTATAAATGGTGTTAGTGTTATATCTTTCACTTGGATGTTATACGTTGCACTGAGTAAAAACAGCTGGATAAAACAAAAATGTTCTCTGTCTTCATTTCAGGCTGCAAATCAAAATGTGATTATTTTACTGGGGGGGGGGGGGGGGGTGATTCTTTTCTATACCCACTGTATAGGATATAGGTATAGGCAGTAGCAGGTGTCCTCCAAACTCCAACATGCAGCTATTACAGTGGTAGGTGCACCCCAAACTCCAGCATGCAGCTGCGGCAGTGGTAGGTGTACTCATATGACCGTTATTACAGCACCTTAAATTTGAAAACTCTGTCATGCTGCCATTTTCATTTGAGTTCCTAATTTTTGTCATGTCAGAAGGATTGCCAATGCAGGTGTTAACTACTATATGTTTTTAGTAAAATATCCTTTCTCTTTTTCCATTTTTTTAATGCGTCCACCTCAGCCCATCTATAAAACTTTTGTTCTACAAAAACGTATTGAATATAGGGTATACCCCATGACATAAGATTCACAAAGCATTCTGGGTTTTGCAGAGTGCATAAACAGACTCTCTTTCAGACTCTCTCTCTCTCTAAATAAAATGTGTGTCCTTTGTTAACACTCTAAACGATAATGGAAGTTATCTTCAAGAAGTGTCCCATCACGTGCCACAGACTCCATGGTCACATGAAGTTTAGTGTGAAAGCTGTGTTGCTATGGTCATTTTAAACATGGTGGGATTTTACACCTCACACACACCATTAAAGTGGCAGTAAACCGTGGCCTTTAAAAAAATAAAACCCTGCAAGACAATGACAGTATGCATTGCAAGTACTTACCTTAGAACAAAGCCCTCCAGCAGCTCGCTGTCACTGCTGACAGAGCTTCCATCTTCACCCAATCTTCCTTTCAGGTTTGTGTGCTATGGCCATCTGACTGGCCAAGCCTCGATGACGTCACTCCCATGCATGCGCGCGGGGAGTTTCAGATGTGGCGCGGAGCTCTGAAGGTAAGCACAGGTATGCCATCCCTTCAGAGCGCATGTGCCGGTGACATCACTGGCTGCATGCAGTGTGAATATGTCCTAAACCGTGCAAGTTTTGGAGATATTCGCTGTGTCTACAGATAAGTCTTATTATAGACTTATTAGCAGGTACAAGTAAAAAAAAGACTTTACTTTCACTTTAAATACATGTAAGAGTAAATACGGTTTGACTTTGGAAATTTTTTAATATCGTGGATTAATTTTCAGTAGCACAATCAGTAAGAATATAGCTATTTATGGCATATGGTCAAGGCAAATATATGACATTCCGCATGGATGGAATAAAAATGGATCACAGTGCTAATAAAATTGTGACTGGCCATTAGAAGTGAGGATGGAATGATTTGCATTCTTCTAGCCACAATCCTCATAGGAGATGTAAATTCCTCTTTTGCAAGGCAATGCTGGATATAATGTTTTCAGCAAGCTTGAATTTCTCTACATAGGTTTTCTTTAAAGCATTGTGTATAGCTCAAAACATGCAGCATTACCTATGCCCACTCCTACCTACCAGTGTTTCTATATCTGATATTCTACATTATTATCATACAGCAGCAAACCCATAATCTTTTCTAATCGTACCTGATTTTTATCACATCCTCAAGATGAATTTCTTGTACCACATGGAATTGGATTTGTAATTTTATGGACTCTGTACCTGACTTTGAAATGTACATTATGTCAGCATTTTGTTGCCATCACATTGTATCTCTGCCTCTTTGTAAAAAAAAATTTTATTAAAAAAGCATGTAGCATTGTTTGGGCTATAAACAATTTTGTGGCAAATCCACTGCCTTTTTGTCTACGATTGTCTCTTTCTGTGTCTGAGCGTCTGGTGGGCTTCACAAGGTGTTGCAAAAAACAGACAACCTTGCGCATTACCTCAACAAGAAATTTTAGATTTATTGATATAGGAAATATACTCACAAGACAGCAATACAACAGCTCTGAAGAAGGGAACCCCCTTCGAAACGCATTAGCTTCGTCCTGAGAGTCTCCCCTCCAGATGGGTTTTGCGCGTGTCTCCTAATCCAGGGACTCTTTTCTAGGATTTTATATGCCTGTTGTATTGCTACTCTTGTGAGTATATTTTCTATATCAATAAATCTACGAATTGCTTACTGAGATAATGCGCAAGGTTGGTGCGCTCTGTTTTTTGTTCTTTACTACAATATATATCGAGCTTCCCCAGCTTCGCATTACAGCTGCACAACCTTTGATCGGTCCTGGAGGAACTTCCATATATCATACTTTATATTGGTCCATCGGTCCTCTACTGACCTGACTCCCCGAGCACAGGAGGTATTGTATCTGTGTTTACTGGACTTCACAACTTGTTTTGCTAAGTTAGGAAACCTGATGGACATGATTTTATTGACATGATCTCAATGGCTGACCTTTTTCATTTATCATAGGATGTTGCAAAAAAAAAAAAAAGAAGATAATTGAATGTGTCACATACCTGGATAATGAGCCTGACGTGAAGAGGCAGGCCTCCCGTACAACTCCAGCTCAAGGACCGCTGATGGTGAGATAGCGGCCGCAGGGGCAGCTATTACTGGACTGTGATCAGTCCAGTAATAGCTGGTAAGCAGATGAGCTGCGGGCCGGGGGAAGGAAGCAGGATTCTGATGCAGCCGTGCTGGATGGATGGATACCCGAGAGCAGCGTACTGAGGATGCAGGGTCAGACGAGCCGGGTTCGGTATTGGTCAGGTAGATCAGGCTTAAAGCTGCAGGAGGAAGAGTAGTCGGGTCACAGGCCAGGTCAGCAGCAGAAGATCAATCAGACAGGAGCGGAGACAGAAGGGTAAATCCAAGGGAAGCCAGAGGTCAGGGCAGGTAGCGGTCAAGCGGAGGTCAGGAACAAGCTGGTTCTGTATCAGAAGACAATCACAGGAATCAGGAAACACAAGCAGGGATAAGACCATATGGCAATGGGACATTTACTGCAGCCAGTTTAAATAGCCCTTTTGGCACCAGCATTAGTGACAGGCGTGCACCTGTATGCGCGAGTGCGCCTATGTCCAAGTACCCGCACATCTGTTTGGCTCATAAAACCTCTGCGCATGCGCATATTTGTACGCCGCGGATCTTCACCTGCACTATGGACAGGCCTTTCCTGACAGAATGTTCAGATTATATTCAGATTACTGATAAATGGAGTTCCTCCACTTTACATTTATGGCCAGTTCTTATTATTTGGTATTATCTTGGCATTGATTTATGACTAATCTCTCTCTGGAGTTCATTTGCCTTAGAAAGTTTATTTTTTTGTTATGGCTATAATATTTTTATTTCCTTTTTTATAGACTGAAAGCAGACATGAATTGGAGAGGTGTTCAGGATAACAAATTTAAAGGAAGGGACATACTAATTTTATCCCAAGTGTTACATCTTTGAAAGCCTTTGATGACCATATGAATATGGCGAGAGTGTCTAGAGCAGAAGTTGTCTAGATCAAACGAAAGCCAAACTCCCAGCTGATGGCCGAACTGTCCCAGCCCCAGTGATGATTGAAACATTTTGCTCACTTTAATGTAGGTGAGGGGTAGAACCAAAGAACAAAAAATAAACATGAAATGGAATTTTAAGGAAAGCCATACACAGATGTGGTTCAAAGGAAGCCTATATTAACTATAGAGAATGAGGAAATGCATCCCAAATGTGTTGAGGATTTTATTTTTGTTTGCCCACAGAACATTGTGTCTTGTTGAACTGTTTAGCTAAAGGGTCTTTGGTACACAACAAACATGCACCCGCCACAAGTGGATGTGGTTAAGAATGCATAAAATATTAAATTAAAGGCAGTACCATATGAAAGGAGGAAACCCCACGCTTTGAGGAAAATTTTAATCTATGCTCACTTGCAAAATGTTTATTTTTTTTTATACTAAATTTTGATTCAATTATTGCATAATCAGCCATGGGAACGCTTCTGACATTTTTTTTTCTCACAGTGAGATGCGTGCATCATGTGCACTGTCTGTTAAATGTTAATTGTAAAAGCAGAACTCCAGTTAATAAATATATAGATGTAGCACTCTTCTAGGCAGGTGCTAGAGTCAGATAGAATTAATTGTGTTTTTGATAGATAAATGTAGTTGTCACTCTGTTGTCAGAGTGGCTGTAAATATTTGTTAGGTAAAAGCATAGTTAGTTTACCTAACTTTTTCTGTATTCAGCAAATTTAAGATGTTTCTGGATGACAGGTGTGGAATTATGTAGATGGCTGCATGAATATTGATACAGCCTCAGCCTATCCCAGAGAGAGGGGGGGGCACTAAGGCATGCTGGGTAACTGTATATATTCAGTGAGCACAGGCTATGTGTTCTTTCCTGTCCAGGACTGATCCAGCCTGGGAGGGGGTACGTTGCCCACCCAGACATCTACTGTCAGGCGACCTCAGGTGGGTGTTCTAAGGGCCTGAATGCTGATAAACCCGGGTTCTGCTATGCTGACTGATGGTCTGGTATCATGGAGGAAGGCATCCAGCTACTTTGGACCTTGTGAGTACAGAAATCCCTAAAGGATCTTAGAGGCTGAATGCTGTTTAGCCCCCTGTGATGCTAGGAAGTCAGCTGCGGGTCTAACAAATGGAACGCCGGCTGGTGTTCTGAACAGCCATCTGGCCTACTTTTAAAGGAAATATAAACACTCCACAGTGCAAAAAAATATAAATGTGTAAAAAGTAAAAAAAAAGTCCCAAAAGTATATAAAATGTGCTCCAATCCCAAGAATAGTGCTCAACAAAATCAATGATCACGGCTGATGTGAGCAACATTTTGTTGAGCACTATTCTTGGGATTGGAACACATTTTATATACTTTTGGGAATTTTTTGGGACTTTTTGCACACTTATATTTTTTTTGCGCTGTGGAGTGTTTATATTTATAATTGATTGGTTTCTTCCTTTCATGAGTAGCAGCATTTAGAATTTGATTATAATATATATAATTTTTTTCTGTGGCGCGGGTTTTTTATTTTTATACTTTTAAAAGAACACTGCTCTGGGGCTCTACTGCTACTACCCACTGCTACTGCTACTACTACTTTTTACTACTGCCTAAAAGCTGATGTCCACTATTTGATTCAAGCACATAAAGACATAGCTTGCTCTGAAGATTAATTTAAAGTCCTCAATGTACATAGTTCCTATTTTTTGGAGTATCCCACTCATCTCTTTCCTATCCAAGTTCTACAAAAATGAAAACAACAAAGACAACACCCCTAGACTGGTTATTGGAGAAACTTGTAAATGAGCCTATGTGCCCGACTGCGGGGCAAAGTAACTTTGGGGAGGACCTTGACAGTATTCCTGTGGCTCCTACGTGAGTAGCACTACACAGAGGGATTTATTTACTAAAGCTGGTTCACTCAGAATCTTGTGCATTTCTGCATGGAAACCAATCAGCTTACAGGTTTTATAGCTAAAGCTTAATTAAACAAGCTGAAGTTAGAAGCTGATTGGCTATCATGCACAGGTGCACCAGATTCTGAGTGAACTAGCTTTAGTAAATATAGCCCATAGTATATAAAATATACTGTATACATATATACGGTACATATAATATTTAGCCCAGCACTGTTAAAATTCAATTCAATTCCCGCACTGGACCACTTAAGGGTTGAATAACGGCTAGGGTTATTCAGTCCATTTCCTTTGAGCCCTGTCTGTTAAAGACACACTCCCAGGAGCCTAGGACTAGGTTCACAATACAGCAGAGAGTGGCACTGTTGTCATAGTCTTAGTGCCACTTTCTGTAGTATTGAAGACTGGATCGTCTCTGGAATTTGTAGTCACGCCATTTTTTGCACCCAAAGAACATCCTTTAGCTAGCGGCACCTACGTTTCACACAGAATATTTTTTTGTCTGGTCCATACCCAACTTGGAATATTGTGCTTGGTAAATAAAGGCAAATGAAATAATTGTATTCAAAATTAATGGGCTGCCTTAACACATCATATGTTAGTGCACAGCAATATCGAGCCTCAACGTAAGTGTGGTAACTCAATGCACCTCAAAGGTGCAAGATGGCTCTTAGTGAATTCAGCCTAATGCCATGCCACTTAAGCATTCCACATCGCAATGCAAAAAAACAGAATGTATCACCCAGCACATCATATTGTATTTTGCTGTTACTGCAAATATTGTAAACGGTTGTGAAAGCAAATCACAAAGTAACATCAAATTATATAAACCAACAACGTAAAATTATATAACCCCACAACTACAAGTTGTATTGCCCGTGACAGCACAATATATGTGACAGAGCCACTCATCACCAACCTCCTCATGTGCAGTCATTCTAAAAATATTCACCATTAACTCCCATCACATTTACCATGTACATTCCCTATCTCAAAAATTCTTATGTTTCTACAAACGCTCCCCTAATGTGAAAATCCCTCATATCCACCCATCAGTAGCCCAACCTAATATGAAGCCCCACAATTTTAGCACACTGTCAGCCCCCCCAATATAATTTTCTTTTATGAAAACACCACAAGCCCCATCGCATTCACAAACCACTCTCGTACAAATCTGTATCATCTCTGTGATGATAGTGAAGTGTGGCAAACCCCAAACTGTGTGGGAAAAACAGGGGAGGTCAGTCATACTAAAGATCATCCCGGACCTTCAGTATTTTTTCTCCAAAAATTTGCAAGTTGGTAATGAAAATGGTCAGTAGATTTAAATATTGTGTCTGTGGTAGGCATATTTCATGGTAACAGCTTTTACTAAACACAGCAAAGCTTAAAGCGGAGTTCCACTCAAAAGGGGAAGTTCCGCTTTAAAGATTGGTCCTCCGCTCCCCATTAAGGATTGGCACCTTTGGGGGCGGGGGAAGCGGGTACCTGAATTTGACAGGTTATCAGCTCCCACGTCCAGTCTGATTGCCTAGGCGACTGGAAGTGGAAGGTATCCCCCTTCCCTCCCTGTAGTCTTTTGGGACACGTGACAGGTCCCAGAAGTAACTACAGGACCATTCATGAAGTGCAGTGCTACTCGCGCATCGCGCAGTGGGTACCCGGCTGTTGCCGCAAGCTGTCACAGCTGGATACCCACACTGAAGAAGCCAGCGCCTGGAACACAGGACAGCCGGTGAATACGGGCTGCAGGGGACACACCGCTATCCTTGGGACCAAGGGACAGGTAAGTGGCTGTTTTTTAAAAGGCAGCAGCTACAGTTTTGTAGCTGCTGACTTTATATTTTTGACAGCGTGAGTGGAACTCTACTTTAAAGTGGAGCCCTCCAGCGGCACATTGTCACCAGCTGCAGAGGCTTCCATCTCCAATTTCGTCTTATTTCCGGGTTCACAAGCTCCGGCCATCTGATTGGCCGAGCCGCAATGACATCTTCCTGCGCAATGCTAAAAAAGAGCAAATATGCATTGCTAAACGGTGCACATTTAGGAGAAATATTCATTTTACCTACAAGTAAGCTTTATTATAAGCCCTACCTGTAGCACAGGTAAACGTTAAAATGACAGACCAATTTACAACATCGCTGGTAGACTGCCGGCTTACCAATGGAATTCTTTTACCATGCCTCAATACTTCTTACCTTTGTGAGTAGTTTTTAACACCGTTTGTTACCAATAATTATTAAACCTCTACACTGAGACTAGCGCCCCCTTCTGTCCGATTTATCCTTATTAAAAGTTAAAATAAAGAGTTTACTACCACTTTAAGCATTTTTCACTGTTTATTCTTGTTTTTTTGTAATGCTTATGTCTGTTTGCTAATATCTTTTTTGTCTATTCTCTCTCTTTTCTTTAAAAAATATATATTTAAAAATCTTTAAAGAAGTTTAATTTTTTGGGGAGGGATACAAGATCAAGCAATATGTTAATGGTGTACTGGTGGCCTATCCCATTACCTTCAGGCTGCTGCTTCTGATAAAGGTTTTCCTGCAGTGACTCTTTCACATTCATCAGTCTGCCCTGACCCGAGCGGCTATCTTCTGGTGCAGTAAAGAGAAGCATCTATGACCTTTTGCCTTTTCCTCCATGCACACAACTCATCTTGCTTCTATCACACAATGAGGTTGATTTACTAAAACCGTAGAGTGCAAAATCTGGTGCAGCTCTGAATAGAAACCAATCATTTTCCAGGTTT